CTCCTCTGCCAAGTCAACAGTTGGCCAACATTCTGTTTATGCCACTCTGAGTTGGGCATGGAAAACAGCCCTATCTTCGGCAAACGATGGTTTAGCATACGCAACACCTGTCCCAACCAACGCAGCTTCTGGTGCTGGACACATTCTTCAATGAGTGCTAAAGGTGTGGACACTTCAAATAAATTGACACGATTGCAAGAAAGTGAAGCACCAGCATTCTTTTCTGGCTTCGCCGTCAATGATGATGGTGAGGTGATTCCCAGTAGCAAAGGAACGTCGTGTATTCTTATTTTTTTGCATCACTGGTCACGTGTTCATTCATTCAATAACTGATGACACGAAGAAAACAAATGTTGCTTCAAATAGAACATAAGGTTGACGGAAACTCGGGGACCGCGGCGTCTGCCCGATGAGCTCCAAGAAGGGCGAAACCGGGCGTGGGCTGTCGACGAATTTTCAGCAACCTTGTGAGTAGTTTCCTCTATGAAAATGTCACTCACTTTTATACACAGGTTCTCACTTCGCTTAATCAAGCTTGTAAAAATCACCGTGTCTGGATAGTGTCACTCCGAATGTCAACCAGAAGGAATAGAAAAGTTCGGCGAGACGAATGGTACGGTGGTCTAAAGAACAAACTCATATTTTACAACTGGTTCTTTCGGGGGTACTTTACCGCCTTCGTTTAGTCCACCCTAAAGATTAAACAGATATTTTCGTTGCCAAAATAATCTGTTGTCAGCCAGTGGTAAGCAGCAGAGCGCCAGTTTCTTACAATAGGGTCCCAAACCGACACAAGTGGACTGACCCATTTTCAAACATCCATTCATCAGCAACAGATCTTTAATACAATATGGTCTATTGTCGATTCGGTTTCAGCTGACTCCCATAGAGACCCTGAAGGATATGGCAGCGAAGCGATGTCAGTTTCGTTCATGCTGTGAGTTTCTATCCAAGGAGCGCCGGAGATGTAGGCACTACGGATGTCCTTGGTAGGCTTGCCGTAGATCCCCCCTCTCCCTCTCTCTGTACCCCAATTTTCTCGCTTGCGTTACGCCAACCATCTCTGTGTTATCAGAAATATCACGTGGTGCTGCCTCTCAAAACAATTCCATCTGACTGGTAAAACCGAACTTGACAACTCTAGACACCAGGCATTTCTACACTCCCACTTATCGTGTTTTGTCCATACTTGTACTTCTAGTTGAGGAATTGTAGAAAACACATGTTCCTTAGACATGGATCCTAATAACATGGTCATGTGCAAGAGATCCAATAGGGTTCAATGTAGAAACGTGTCAACAGACTGCTGTTTGACAGATTTTCGACAACCGATTCTCCCAAATGGACCTCAGCCTCCACCTTATCCTCGAGGTCTCGTAGTGGTCGCTTCAATCTGATTGTGACGTCGATTGAGGGGACTAACTCACAACGAATAACTATCCGGAAGGTCAGATTCCTGAAAGCAGCCACTGAATGCCCGAAATCTACTGAGACCCTCAGCTCCGCTAAATGCTGACTAGACAGATAACGCCCCCGCAATATGCAGCGCGTCACAGCCTCTTACCAAAGCCGGACCGCGCGCGTTAGCACTGGACCAAGTTCAGACAGTGTCCCTCCAATAAATAGCTTGAGACCGTTGTACATTCTCACTTGTACGCAATCACACTCTCGCACTCGCTTGTTCAGAATATAGCTGTTGTGTTCTCTTCTGAGAGTCTTATTTCTCCGACACTAGGCACTGGAGCGGGTCAGCAGCAGATACCACAGATTAGCGAATCAACAGATATAACTGAATGGAATTACATAAAGATGAAGTACTCGTCTTCACATGTCAAACTAATAGAATTACGGAGGTACTGGAGTTAAAGTATATATGAATACTGATCGTTATCACTTGATATTCATGCGAGTTGTGACGATTTGACATGTTGAGTTTGGGCACATATCGCGGGAAAAAGAGGAGGTTGGTGATTGACCAAAAACAACGCTAACAATGCTAATGATGGCACGGAATTACTGGAAAAAATAAAAGTACTTTGTGTGTTTGGTAAGAACAGTTACTGTCCTCTTATTTCCTCAGGATCGTGAATCATAAACCGAAATGCGGCTGATAAGAAATTGGTGAAAAATTCGAAAGCAGCATGTTAGTTCACCTCTGTCCTCTCGTTGACAGAAGGTGAGTAGCCGAGATCCCTGTTTCTGCGGGTGAAGACCGGCCGCAAAAACGTAAAAATCGCGCGCCAAGAGTCCCAGGGCTGATTGTACATGAAACCAGTGAGTACTCGAATCGTCCACTTTGGCTCATGTGTTTAAAATTTGCGGATAGCTCATTTTTCATTGATTATGTAGAGGCAAGATTGATTTTCTCCTAGAAGGGTCGGTCTTTAACAGGGAATTATCCTGGAATCTCCGGTACTGTGTGACCTCGGGAGCTTATCGTGTGTTCCAGTCTTCGTCTAATATAGTATCAAAAATCCTATGACCATGCCACAGTGATCCGCGCTGGAGGAAACAAACTTTCCAGAACCGTAAAACAAACAGTTTCTTCCAGCTTGAACGGTTGCTTTGGCTTCCAATAGGTCACATTACATTGTCAGTTAAAGCGGACACATATTCAAAAGATGGCTGTTGAGGGGAAAAACGTCAGATGAACTGGAATCATCAATGCCTCACAATCAAATGAAGTTAATTGATCTGATCAAACCTTTGGCCCATGGGATTCGTGCATAATTGGCATTTTCTGAAATGTCACAGTCTCCGGGTCACGAAAAACTACGTTAAATTTGTGGTTCTTATCCACCTGTGCACGCCAAAAGCCATATGCTTCTACCAACAAACGCTGATGGTCGCCCAACAGGATCCTACTGTGAGGCAGGCTGTTTTAAGACTATATTTCAGGGCCCTAGATGTTCCCTCCTGGGTTTCAAATGGCAGCACTGAACAGAATTAAGTCAGCGAGACGGTCACGTGATACGTTATCATCCGCCGGAGTGAAATCATCAACCGCGCACTGATAGTTTTCAGCTGCCTTCCCTGCGAGAGGGACAAACCCCCCGTGAAGGAGACATTCTAGCATTCGACCAGAGAACCTCCCTGTGACGAAGCAAATGCAGTTTGTGTCACCAGAACGTAACTTTTAGCAATCTTTCAAATTCCCACCTCCCTCACTTGAAGTTGAGCACGGGTTTTCATTTACCTACTACTCCACACAACAAATTTAAGTTGAATCCTACAGCCCGTATCCGTTACTTCAAAGGCAGATCTCAAAAAATCGAAAACGTGACCAAATTAACCTTGAAATGCCAAAAGGGTGCGCCAACGTTGAACTCACCGCAATAATCTGCACTAGCCGTTCGGATAGTGATGTGAAGTACAGCGATGAAAAAGAGTCCAAAAACGTTGAGATTCATCGTACTGTAAGTCCAACTACGCCGGAGCTGATTGTACTCCAACTCAGACCTACAGCACTCAACGTGACTTGCTCGCCGACTCTCTATTTGTCAGATTTCTAGCCAATCAACATAAGCGATTCGGCGAATGTCGAATTTTCACTTCCCTTTGAACTCACGCGCGCGCACACACACACGCACGCACACAGCAAAACTTAGTAAGGCGTGACTTGGTAGTCTACAACGAGCTTCACTCCGATTCGGGTTGATCGCGTGGGCGTGGAAGGAAAGGTCACATGACGCTTGCTGCACACGTATGAGAATTACTGAGTGATGAGATTTCATCCAACTAAGCACAAGTGAATAGGATGATTGCAGATCGCAAGTTCAAAATTTGAGTACCTCGGTTCCCTTCTAATGACCTTTGAAAGATTACTGTGGCAAAACTTGAGTAGTTACGTTTGTGAAAAAACAACGTAGCTCGCAACAGTTGGCTTGCAGTGTTTTTACCTTTTCTGATAGAGTTGGTTGCAGTTATTCTGGTACTGAAGAGACTATTTTTTAAACGGGAGCTTTGACCTAGAACCGAAGCACTGCAAAGCCGTTTCTTTCTTGATAGGGACGGTCAGTAGTGCGCGTCTGATGTATCCCCCGAATGGCTTGTATTCGCATGCTTCCGGTTAATTCGGGTATGTACTTCTCACGATTTTCGACAAAGACAAAACTGTTATTCAGCGCGAATGCATTCTCCATGTCCCGAAATGACTCTTTCATCGCTTGAGTGGATGCGTGACTAACGACTGGCGTCAGCAAAGTTGTACTCAGTGGGTTAGTGCATTTCTCTCCAACTCGGTGAGGTCGAAAGTTCAACCTAAATTTAAACATGTAAGGTAACAATTCTTGGAAAGTTTACACGCTCGCTAAAAACAAGACAGTGCAATCCAGTCAACTCTCCTGTTAGTTTCGCCGAGGTAAATGCGTCTCAGATTGACCCTTCAAACGTGATATGAACGAAACTACGCGTCAGATTGTGTAGTCACTTTGAGAATCGCGACAAGATTATAACACGATGAGAGAATGAGCGTTGATACACCTGTTATTTGACAACAGTTTGACAGCAGTCCGCTTTTATTTAGGAAGGTCGACAGATGTGATTCAAGCCTTTCGATCGATTGAATTCAGCATTGACATGTGCGTACTAGAAAGAAGTCACAATCTGCAATGTCTTCACTACCAAATTTGTATATTGTTGGCTGGATGTAACCTTCCAGAGCATCTAATCTCCGGTTAGATGACAAAATGTCTTCAAAAACTCTTAGAAGGTGTGACGGACTGGGAAGTGAAAAACCATCTTTCGGCTGGCTTGTGAAAGGTTGAAGAGACAGGCTTCTTCATCAGACTGTTTTTGTGCAGATCGCGTCCAAACCACTGTAGTTGACGAAGTGCACAGCTGGATGCGCTATTGCAGATCACTTTTAGCGAAAATCACGGTTGATTTAAGACCCATCCTCAGTCAGACATTTATCGTCGACTCTAAAGCGCAGAGATGTCGTCAGTAGGGTGGAACGGAAAGAACCATGATAGCCTGACATCCACAAGGTTGACTTGTGTAATACTTTGGAGGTCGGATATTCCTAGGTTGGGACTGGGTGTTTGCCCTTGAATAGTCCTATTTTGCAATCGATAAAAAAAGTGGAAACGACATTGGACAGGAGCAGCTATATCACACGTTTGTCTGTACTTTAGAGCCCATAGATCTGTCGCCACACATACAAAAACTGAGCAATGGAATAGTTCCACCTCATAACGAGTGTGAAGGTGATCCGTCATTCTACACTGTGCTCACCAACATTTTCGATCCACCGGGTCAGAAACTAAGAACGTGTGGTAACACTGTAGTGTTATTCAAAACTTCTGTTACGTATAATGGAACTGATCTTTTCGGCAATATCCAGCACACTAATGCTCTGATAATTGATCAAATCACCAGGTGTCTGGTGTAAACCCTTACAATGATCGCACGATTGTACAACCCCTCAGAATCCCATGAACGAGAAACACTCAGGAATGCTATAGTTGTCTTGTTTTCCAAGATAACCCTCGTGAGTTGCTGAGAAATTTGAACCACCGCATCAGGATGAGGACCAGGAATAGATCAGTAGAATGGCAGTTGTCAGCACCGAATTGGCTCGATGACATGTACCAGTCGGGTACTGGTGAAAGGAAGAAGGTCCGCGCTACAGTGTCATTTGTTGGAAAATGCCAACTGAACAGTTACAAACCATTGGACAGGGAAGCAAAACTCTCATATGCATCTTCTTTGCAAAAACTGAATATCCATCTTCTCTTTGAACACATCTTCCTGAACTCCCCTCGACATTCATTGGTTGTTACTCCATTGCAAGCAAATACTAAAAATAGACTCCACAAATCCTTCAACAGATCTCACTTTTCAAGGACGCAAAGCGGATTTACAAGAAAACATACTACTTGCATGCCACTCCCATCAGTAGTATCACCATCACACCGATCCAGGTCAGAACTGACAAGCTAGAATTCTCGCTGAAATCGGTATTTCAACCGGCGGACACAGATGGTTAGGGGAAAGGCGAGTGTGCCATGTCAACGGTATTGACGTTTCTGCCTGTTCATAGCACTTGGTCCTCACGAGATGAGGTAATTTGTTCTGATGAACAAGGTAAACAGCAGAACCAATGGTTTGCAAACCATAGCAGCTATTCAAAACAGCGACCAGACATTCGGTTTGGTGAAGTAACGGCCGCTGCTTCTTTGCTCGACAAGCTTGGCGTTTCGGTTGCAAACGTTCCATCCCCAATCGAGGTGAAATCACTAACACGGCGTGAGTGAAATTTCGTTGTGATTGGAAGCGTGGTTGGACGAAGTAAAAGCCCACCTGTGAGGTAAACCTTTCCCACAAAAATGAAGCATGAACGGTTAATATGATGAAGTTTCTTCACACGTTTAAGACAACGGCATGGTTAGATGCCTAAAGCCTCAAGCAACCAAGCCTACTGTTCAGTTATTAACAGATTCTGCGAGAGAATTGATGGGAAGTCGGAGCGAACTTCCCGGTTGCTGACCATCAGGTTGACTAGATAAGTTCACGGTTCTGTAGATCCAGAATCGAAAACTGTGATTGACGGTAGAGTTAACGGCTAACTCCAAACCATCTGAATGAGTAAACTGGAGAGGTAGTCACTGCACTAAATGAGTAAGCAACACCTACCTGGGTTGCGCCAAGAAGTGACCATGGAATTTCAAAGTTCAAACTGCTGCTCCAATTTGGACGCTGATGTAGTTGGTACGTCTGCTGGGACTCGACCCAGAGAACTACCTGATTTAGTCTGTGGAGAGTTTTCATTGATTATTGGAAAGCAGGTTTTCAGAAACCGTTGAGGTGTATACCAACATGCTATTTAGTCTTGTTGCCTTGTCTGCGTATTCAACCAATATGGGATTTTTACTAGTCTTGGTGGGAAGCGGTACTGAGATTTTTCGTAGTTTCGTGGAACTTTGGTTGCCTGCTTGACAGAGACTGCGGTAGTTTCATTGGACCTCTTCTCAGCAGAATATACTACTTATAAGGTTCCTGAAAACCCTTCGATTGTCCGGTTTTGGTCTTCAAAGTGTTGTCATTGAACACCCAGGTGCGGGAAAGTGGTGAAGTAAGATTACTAACAGATTACCTTGACGTTAACAAAAGTCTCGGCTGAGTCCCAGCTGAATACCTCTTTTTAGACAACAGTTTTATTAGCATATTGCCCCCTGAAGAGGCGCTGTGACCAAATTCGAGATAACCGAAACACACTCATTTGCATAGAAATTTGATTTGCGAAAGTGCCTCCCGGGAACCCATCTGAACCTCTCGTTTATGATGTTTTCAAAATAAATTTGTTTGCGAATAAGTGTAGTTTTCTAATTTCGTGCAATCTGGGTTCGAGTAGAACATACATTTGATAAAAATTCGGGGACTGCGACTACCTGATGAGCTCCAAGAAGGGCAAAACCGGTCGAAGGGCTGTCCAGGAGTTTTCAGCAACCTAATGAGTAGTGTATTACGTTCATGTAGATTTGAGATACTTTCACTCGTAGTTTGTAAACTGAGACAGTTTTAATTGAGGGGCCATATGCCGCTCTTGGTAGGAAACAATCTGTAAAGCGAGCTGGATGGTGTCTAGCTGTAGAGAACATGCAAAAATTTCAGAGTACTTTCCAATCATCCCTGAGTGAGTGCGCATTGCTTGCGGTTAAAGTGCGGGAGAACCAGCTCTGATTTGTTCACACTAATATGAGGACAATCTCTTGTGACCAAGGGTGAGTTGACCTCATAGATCATTTGACCAGAACGTCACCTGCAGTACTTTGTACCCCACCCATATGACGGTTGACTTTAACTGCTTGAGCCGAGGTCTTGCCACGGCAGAAGAACGATCTCAAAGAGAGGATTTTGGAATAGTTGGTAAACAGTTGGTGGATCTAGCGAAACACACTCATTTGCAAACTAATTTGGCTCTTTCGAGAGACTCATCTTGAACCCAGATGAATTCCTCGTTTGTGATGTTTTGAGGTGACTGAATGTACTGCACCAGGCGGTCTCATGTTTCAGTCGCTACGATATTCGAGATATCGCGATACATGTATGTTTCTAATGCACTATTCATAAGGTTGCTGAAAATTCTTGGACAGATCACGACCGATTTCGTTCTTCTTGGGGCCCATCAGGTAGAACATAAAGTTGACGGAAACTCGGGGACTGCGGCCATCTGATGAGCCCCATAAAGGGGCGAAACCGGTCGTGGGCTCTCGAAGAATTTTCAGCGACCTTATGAGTAGTGCATCACGTCTATACCGTATCCTTTCATATAGACTGATCTAAACCGACTTCTACCTCTTACATTCTGCTTACGCCGCCATTCCCGGCGACTTCCACCTCTTCGTATTCCAGTCGCGGGCATGTGAATCTTATCTCTGGTTCCAAATTTCCGTAGGGTCTACGTCCAATTGTCTCCTGCATGTCTCACCAGTGTCATCTTCAACTATCTCCTCA